CTAGTTGGTTGGGTAGAGAGGCCAATGGGCGCACAGGACTGACCGGTCACGTGGGACGGTCAGCTGACCACTGAGGCGTGGGGCATTAGAGCGATAGGCCAGGAGTTGTTAGGTAGCGGTCAGAGACGGCCGAGAATGTAGATAGTTAGGAGATCATGATTAGCTAGCGAAGGTAGAAGGTGTTAGGTTGTAGAATGTAGAGAACAGTTAGTGTTAGGATTGGTCATGGGAGTTAGTAGTATATTGAACAGTCAGTAGTAGAAGTAAATAGTACAGTGTAGATCAGTTAGGTAGAAACTTGAACATATATATCATTTTAATAAAGAACAATTATAGTTGAACTTGAACGGTGTGTTGTTGGATTCATTCGTTACGCCATCTCAAAAATCCCCACCCTCACATCTGGTGGAGCGCGGGTCGAGTAAGGGAAAGAACGTATATCAGCTATTCATGACGGAGTATGACTGGTGTATTGCTTTCTCTAACTCATCACAACAGCGGGTTTCTTCAGCCGGAGCGAATTTTGAATAACAACACAAGGGAACTGTCACCATATTCACAAAGATAAGTACCTTCCAAATTTTTTTTAAACGTTTGGGTTTATACCCGTGCTGGACAGTTTGTACCAGTGGTTTTTCTGCCTTACACATTCTATTGTTACGCACTGTTGCCTTAGTTATTTTAACTTTCCTCAACACACACACATACACATACACAACCATGGAGGCAGAGTTTCAATGCTATAAACAGGGCATACCATTAGACAAAACAGGAGAAGAAGTTGAAACATTTGTAGAGAATAAGTTAAGAAACAAGATAGTCAAGATAGTAAGACATGTCAAGAACAAAAGCATAGTTAGCGATAGAATTAGTGAAACGGAAAGTACAGCACATAGATAACACGCAACTGCCCAAGAACATCAACCCCATGACCAAGAATGTGACCCGGACCGCCTCCATAAATGATTTTGAACAACGGACATAATTGTGAAGTCAAGTCGAGTATTTTTGTGTTGATCTAAGTAGTCGAGGAAATCGACGTGAAGTCGTACAGTCAGAAGTCAGTGTAGTCAAATCTGAAGTCAATTGTGTTATTGAAGTCAGTGAAGTATAAGTCAGGACTGAAGTCAAAGAAGTTATTTGAAGTCAGTCAAGTCAGTCAATAAGTTGTTGAAGTCGTATTTGAGGTCATAGAGACGTAGTTGGAGTCATGTTGCAGTCAAAGAAAAGTCTTTGAAGTTATATTACAGTCGTTGAGGTCATTGTGAAGAAGTGAAATCGTCAAAGTTATAGTGAAGTCTTTGAAATCAAAGTGATGTCGTTGAAATCTTTGAAGTCAAAGTTAAAGTCTTTGAAGTTGAAGTAAGGTTAATCTAAGTCAGTCATTGAAGTTTTTGAAGTCATATTGAAGTCTTTGGGGTCATATTGAAGTCGTTGAAGTCAAAGTGAAGTATTTGAAGTCATATTGAAGTTGTTGAAGTCAAAGTGAATTATTTGAAGTCATATTGAAGTAGTTGAAGTCAAAGTGAAGTCTTTGAAGTCATATTGAAGTTGTTGAAGTCAAAGTGAAGTCTTTGAAGTCATATTGAAGTTGTTGAAGTCAAAGTGAAGTCTTTGAAGTCATATTGAAGTTGTTGAAGTCAAAGTGAAGTCTTTGAAGTCATATTGAAGTAGTTGAAGTCAAGGAAAAGTCTTTGAAGTCAAAGTGAAGTCGTTTAAGTCTTTGAAATCAAAGTGAAGTTGTTGAAGTCTTTGAAATCAAAGTGAAGAAGTGAAGTCGTCGAAGTTTAAGTCGGTCAGTGAAGTCTTTTAAGTTGAATTGAAGTGAAGTCGTCGAGGTCAAGTTAGTCTTCAAAGTGAAGTTAGTCGTCAAGTTGAAGTAATTGAAGTCGTCAAAGTGGAATCAGTCGTTAAATTGAAGTCAGTCACGTTACTGAAGTCAAAGTGAAATAAGTGAAGTTAATGAAGTCAGTTAAAGTGAAATAAGTCAAGTTACTGAAGTCAAAAGTGAGGTCAGTCATTAACTCAAGCCAGCCAGTTTTTTGTCGGAAGTCGGATAGTGAGAGCTGCTCCACTATATGATCACGTGTTGAAATGACACGATATACACTCACATGTCTATTCTTTTTGTGAAGCTGTTTCTGGGCTCTAGTGGTGTTTGCGTCTATTGGGTTTATTAGGCTTTACAGATTGTTGTTGGATTGGAGTGTACTGATTTTTTTTATTTGGTTAATTTTGTAATGTTATATTTGTATGCTGTATGTACCGCCAGACAAGTGTTCAGCACGTTTAAATTTGGGATTGAAGTTTTTTTTAATGGAAGGTACCTCTGTCTGAATACTTGTCTGCGCGGGCACTAAAATGGTCACATAAAGCCATTGCTCATGGTCTCGTAATACAATTTCAGACCCACTACGCTTATTCAGAATGAGACGAGATGAAGCAGACACCTCAAAGAATGCCGCCACCTGAAGCCCTGATTACGTTGAATTACCTGGACAGTGAACAGCCCTGCTGAACAGAGAATTGTCCTGGTCAAGACAGCGGACGCATCGCCACCGCTTCGCCCCCGCACTGGAGTTGAATAACAGACCGCCAGCTACGTACACCTACGTCGGCACATACAAAGGGTAGAAGACCCATCGTCCAAGTTCCCAGCGTCGGAACGTTACGTCATTGTTCGCCACCGCATCAGACAGCCCCAGTTCATCGTATAATCACTCTACGTGGACGTCTCAACCAGCGTTGAGTTTGTTGCGTCATCACATTGACCAACGAAAGTTACGCCTACACCCGCCTCACGGGAATTTACATAAAAACTCCCACAACCCACCCACCACAGAGGAACGCCAGCAATTACATAACACGTACACATACACTTACACTGCTCGCAGAGCCCGTTCAACCAGTTACACATTCTACTAAGATTAGCTCAAGGCCAGTACACGGCAACCTAGCCAGAACTGAGTTTCACATGATTGAATTCACACATACCATAACATAGACATACATTAGCAAGCAGAGACACCAGTCACACCACAAGATTTCAGGAACTAGAACAATGACATTTTTTTCAAGAACAACAGACACGAGATTTTATGTTTTGTAAACTGTGCTGTCCCATTTTGTATTTGATTTATATGATTGATGTTAGGGATAGAATAGAGCAGAAAGATAGTTTGTTGATGTAGTAGATTAGTAGCAGACGCTGAAAAATATAATTTGTCAGCTACAGAAAGGGAGGGAGATATGTGATGACGCAAGAGTACGTCAGACATGTTTAGCAGATATAGGTTAGCAGAAACAGACTATAGGCCTAGTTGGTTGGGTAGAGAGGCCAATGGGCGCACAGGACTGACCGGTCACGTGGGACGGTCAGCTGACCACTGAGGCGTGGGGCAGTAGAGCGATAGGCCAGGAGTTGTTAGGTAGCGGTCAGAGACGGCCGAGAATGTAGATAGTTAGGAGATCATGATTAGCTAGCGAAGGTAGAAGGTGTTAGGTTGTAGAATGTAGAGAACAGTTAGTGTTAGGATTGGTCATGGGAGTTAGTAGTATATTGAACAGTCAGTAGTAGAAGTAAATAGTACAGTGTAGATCAGTTAGGTAGAAACTTGAACATATATATCATTTTAATAAAGAACAATTATAGTTGAACTTGAACGGTGTGTTGTTGGATTCATTCGTTACGCCATCTCAAAAATCCCCACCCTCACACATAGGTCATTATGTTGTTTTTAACTAATTTGTATTAGTTTGACCGATAAAATTATATATATTTCATAGATCTAGATCTAAATCAAATTGGAATGAAGTAGTTCCTTTCTTTATAGTGTAAAAGATTCACATGTAAAACAAAATATTACGTTTAACTTGGTATTAAGGACACTATCATTTCAGCTATTTAGGCACCTTATAAAATATAGAGAATGAAAGAATTACTTTAAAAACTTAACGTACACGAATATGTCAATTATTTCAAATTAATTTTTTTATCCCAAATTAGCCAGTTCCATAGCTAAACAAACAAAGATTTCTATAAAATAATTATGGCCTGAAATAGTTTAATATAGAAATGTATTTTTGGGATAGATTCTAGAATAGATGGAGTCTAAATCTAGATCTTAGCGACTTATTAGCGTCTACATCTAGTTTTTGCGTATATTTAAATCTAGTCTAGATCTAGAATCTCTAGATCTAGAATCCAAATAGATATAATACATTTTGTAAGTTTAGGCCGGAAAAACTGTATTGTATACATTTTATAGCGTACCTAGATCTAAATCAAATTTGAATGAAATAGTTCATTTCTTTTCATTCTAAACTCGGCAGATGACGTCATTAGTTAATGTATAAATATTAGTGACGTCATTGTTTCATGGGTTCTTTTTTACAACTATAAACATTTTTCCTATTGCATAATTGAAACTGTTTTTCTATATTGGAATATGCCTTAATTTTTTTTTAATTTTTCGTCTTTCAACAAAATGTTGGTTATACATTTAAAATATCTACCATAATATTTACAACAAAAGTCCCATCAAGTTCTCCATATATCGCGGAAGATTCTGATGTGATGCACTGCGAAAATATTTTGCGGACAGGTAAGAGAGAGAGAGAGCGAGAGAGAAGTACGCACATGGGCTTTTATATCACTCATTCTAATAGGCAGTGTTAGCCTATGTTGATTTAAATGTGTAGGGCTTTAACTATTTAGCTATTTCTCTGCTTTTTCACTTATATAGTTAAATATGTAGTAAAGCACACTGTCTTTTGACCAATATCTATTGTATAAAATAGTTCTCTTCAACAAGCATTACATTTAAAAGAATATAAGTCTACATTTCAAGTGTAACAGGTAGGGCTACTAATGGCTATTTTTTAAAGCGTGCATTTTTGTATTATTCATAACATGGTGCGCATTTAATACAGTAACATTGGTTCTTCGAGTTCAAAGATAAAAAAACGGAAATCATAGAACATAGATCTAATTACTTTACAAACATGAAGATATAGGGAACAAGCAAACATGGCTCTGATTACGGTAGCATTAGCATTCCTGGGTGTCTGGTCCATATCAGCACAAGGTAAGCTCTTAATTTAGGTTTATAATTCTTTGGCAAGACATTACTACTTTTGACTATGTCATACTGTATTTAAATCTAGATCTAGTGTTGAACTTTCACAAGTAAAGTGTACCAATGAGTCAGGAACCTCCTGACATTATGTTCAACTTTTCTTTTAACACAATCGCTTATAAATTTGAAAATAATATGATATACCTTTGCATCATACAAATCATCAACGTATTTTAATTTGACTGAGATTTAGCTATAACCTAGTGATAAGGTATACAGAACTATCACTAAATTTAAATAGAGTTAGAAAACATATTAGCGTACGTACAATGAACCAGCAACACATTCATGAAAACAAGAACATGAGGTTCAGAACTTACTTCCGATAAGGAGAGTTAAAACAGGAAGTAAACTCCAAGCAGGGTATACGACTAAAAACCATTATTTCCTTGATGAAGGAATAAAAAGTATTTTCTTCAAATACTTGCTGTGCCTTTTCGCCCCCTTTGAATTTTCACCCACTCCTCCCCTAAAGAAGTTCAATATTATATTTATTTAATTAGTAAGTTAATTCCATCTATGACTAATGACACTTTTGGCTCTACTAATTAATAAATAATCCCAATTGTTTAATACGTTAAAAGACCACTACATACGACTAGGAGTAACATATTAAGAAAATTAAGGAGAACCAAAATAAGTAAGCTTTTTACTATTACTCTTCGATGCTGTTATTCCTATTACTATTCTTAGAGGGCCCAAAATACTATAAGACTAATACTGTTCTAGATCTGGTTAAACTTAAATTTTGGATAATATTCAATGCACTATTCTGAAACCTATATTTAAACTAAATCTAATTTTTATAATTTCAAATTATAGCCTTACTAAACCTAGCTAACTTTATTGAAATACGTATTTCTATTAAATTAATTTAGTATGATTATATAGATATTTTAAGCAAATTTATTGTAATTTACTTGACCTCAGTAAAGCAAAATCGAAGAGTTAATTATTTCGTTAATTTTGGACCACAACGTACATGTGCCAGAATAAATAAAGCAAAAGAATAAACTTTGTCCATGTGTTTCGTCCCGCGCCAGCAGTTTGTGAATAAAAGCTGTACAGAGATTTACATGAAAACATATTTTGTTTCTTCATAATCTTTCGAATAGAGTCGAATTTTTACGGTTTATTTTTTTATTCCCTTTATGATATAAGTAACTTAATTGTGTATGATTTGTGCTCGTTTTAACGATTTTTAAAAAGATTTTCAATTCTATCACAAACTAACTTTGATGAGCATGGGAATGATATGTCCCACTTATTAAAAACAACCACTCAGTATCTTACTTTTAGTTTTTATTTTAATGGAAGAATTTTATTATTTGGTTGTTTTTTATTTATTCAGATATTATTTGTGGTCATAATCTTCCATGATCCATGATTGCTACACATTTCCTGAATGAGTCACTTCTTACTACCCATGTGCCTTTTCTCGCCCATTTAATGACTATTAATTTTTACATGATCTAATCAGAAAATGAGATCACTAGTATCAAAATACACCTTTAATACTCATCGATACATATAAAACAAAGTGGTCGGGTGTCGGACTGGGTACTTTCCGGTGCCGAAGGCGCTTCAAATTTGGCAGGATTCTACCTTGGAATGTCTGAACATTGGAACTGGTGAAGGTCGGCCGCAAAATCCACAATGGGGGGGGGTGGGTCAAAACTGAAATCGGCCTGATGGACAGCTTCTGCTCGCATGGTGAGGGCTAAGAAGTGACCACGAGTGAAATTCTCCTTATATGATCTATATATTGAAAACAAATTTCCCACGTAGGAACCTTTTGAAAACTCTTTGAAATGTACATCGGCCCCAGAGGTTCAGGAAAAAATATTGCTACCCTCCAAATAATTCCGGAACAATGTTTTAACCGATGTTTTTTTTTGAAAACCTAAGCGAAGCTAGTTAAGAAAATCATCATTATGTGCTAAATTAATGCTTTAAGTGATTTTATTTCACTACCACATAAATCTATAGTACCGAAAGAAATAAAGAGAGGCTCAGAAGTTACTGTTTTCTGTGATTCTGATCTTGCCGGTGTCCGTGAAAATGGCAGCCCTGAGGGCATCATTGAAGGCATTTTTTAAAGGCATTTTTTCCCTGAAAATGGCAACACTTCATTCCAACGCGATGGGCTATCTACTCGTCCACATAAAACAAAATATAGTTACAGAAACGGTGGCAAAATCTGAAATAATTGTTATAAGATAAGATAAATCCGGCATAAAAGGACGTGTCCATTGTCCCCTCTCAAGCAAAAAATCAATCACTTTCACTTTTAAACACATTTTTTCACCTTTTTTAGTTAGCCGATAGAGTGGTCGCTATTACATACTATTTGTATGATGAACGTCGTACTTTTTTTTTTACTTTCTCGTATATACGTAGTATAGAGAAAGTATTGTAATCGTGCAAAAAAAAAATCGAGATTTTTACAAATCTCGACGTTTTACACCTCACTGATACGGAAAAATATAATTTTGCAATCTTGTCCGTATTTCTGTGTGTCTGTGTGTGTATGTCTGTGTGTGTGTGTGTGTCTGTGTGTGTGTGTGTGTAAACACTGTAACTTGAGTACCCTTACAGCTAGGTTGATGAAATTTCATATATAAGTATTTTATCAAAATCGTAGATCCGTATCAACTTGTGAGCGATTTCCGATAACCGGAAGTGGTACTTTTTCTACTTTGAATTTTTCAAAAGCCTATAACTTGAGTACTATTTCAGATAGATAAATGAAGTTTCACCTGCAAGTAAAAGATCTAATTCTCTATCTTCTGTTATATTTTGAGTAATTTCCGTTGACCGCAAGTACTAATTTACTCTATTTCCGATTTCTCAAAAACGCATCTAAATTTATAAAGTACTAATTATATTGCGCACCATTATGAACATCTTTATTCGGCGTTCGCTTGGTGCGCAATACTTTTTTCTATGAGATTCTATTCTATTTTAAAAAGTTTAAGTATTTAAAATGGATTAAAAAATCATAACTATATCTATATCCCGAGTTCCCATCCCCTGTTGTTTTATATAAGAATATTCGAGAAAGTTTAGGGGAGATCACTACCGGTTTAATTATCTTACCATAGTGCGTACCTAGGCGAGATCGAAGAAAATATTACTTTTAAGAGATTTGTTTGTATTTTATATATTCAAAGTTTAAATACCATGACGTTGCTTTGCACCACAAATATATTTTTAAAATTCAATAAAAGTTAAGTAGCCAGCTCCTAAATGTTCTCTATGTTTACTTCTTTCCGTTTACGGATAAGCTTGTAGCACTGACATTTTACACTAAATTGAAACAGGCGAAACTTCTAGCGCCCCTGCAGGATTCGATTTGGCGCCCTAGACTATCATTTGAGCACTATGGTGTATAAGTTCGTTTAAAAAAGTGCGATAGACTACGTGAAAGGAAAAGACTATGAATACATTGGAGTACTATAGTCGTTTACTAAGCTGAAACAGGCGGTTCCGCCGGCGCCCCCCCCCCCCCCCCATGGTGTGATTTCGCGCCCTGTGAGACTTTTCGTTTCTTTTGTGTTTGAGTTGAGATTAAGTTTTGTAGTTGCGATTTCGTTTTATTTTGTTTGTGTTTTGGTTTGTGTTGTCTTTGTGTTTGTGTTTGCATTTGTGTTTGGTTATGTGTTCTGTTTGCGGTTTTTTGTTGCTGATTTTTTATTTTTGGTTGGTTGCGGTTTGGATGCGCAATACCGGTTACATGCTGATTACTAAACACATATGTCATGGCCTTTTACAGATAAGTTTTTCACTGAGGGAAGTGCAGGGCCTTGTCGGCTCGGCTAGTAATGTAGATAAGTTCCTTTTTCTAATAGGTATTGGTAGCCAATGTTGTATAAAATATGTTGGGTTTTTAGCTATTAAGCTTTTTCTATGCTTTGTCAGTAATAAATTTGAATATATAGTAAAGCGCGTTGTCTTTTGACCAAAGGCTATTTTATAAAACTTTTCTCTCAAAGAAGTAGGTCTATGCCCTAAACTTTCTCGAATAAAGACATGATTTTTATTCCATGTTTTAATTACTTAACGATTTATACAACACTTTAAGGCTTATTTGATATATGTTGATTTCGTAAATAAGTAAGAAATATAGTAGTGTACAACATCAATAGCGGCAGAAATAAAGGGAATATTTAAATTAAAGGAGGTAACTCTGTGTACTTGCATTGCCCAAGATGTTATTGGTTATCCACCTTATGTTACTCGAGAAATTAAAATACATTAATTACATTAATGATTTTTTTTTTCTACCTCCAACCTGTAATGTTCTGTGTCTTTATGCCCTGCAGATTATTCGCTTTTATGTTACTATTATCGTCATCGGTGAGTGAAGACTGACAAATATTTGCAATAATAAGATTTCTTTATGACGTGTTTTTACTTTCTCGTGTATACGAAGTATGGAGAAAGTCTTGTAATCGTGCAATAAAATCACATTAAATTTGGACAGTTTTCACCGTTTTACTCCTCAGTCCTTCATCACATCCGGGATGTAGAGGACTTACTTTAATCTGGCAAAAACTATAAATCCAGATATATCAACATTTTGGCGTTTTATGCGTAATGGAGTCGAAAAAACTTGATTATCCAATTCACGTGCGTTTTTTGAGAAATCGAAAACAGCGCAAATTACTACTTCTGGTAAACAGATTACTCAAAATTTAACCTAATGTAGTGAATTAGATTTCTTTCTAACATGTCAAATTTCATTTATCTATCTGAAACAGTACTCAAGTTAACGGCTTTTGAAAAGTTTAAAGTAAAACAAGTGTTAATTCCGGTCACCGAAAATCGCTGAAAAATGGATAAAGAACTACAATTTGACATGATATGTATGAAATATCATCAACCTAGCTGTAACGGTACTCAAGTTAACGTGTTCTCAGACACGAAAACACACACACAAACACACACACACAAAAATGCGGACAAAATTTCAAATCTATTTTTCCGACTCAGGGATTACAATATGATTACAATATTTTCTCTATACTTTGTATACTAGAAAGTTCAATTATAAGCCTACAATTCAAATGCAACGGGTACTGATGGCTTGTTTTTAAATAAAGGCGTGCATTTTTTGTTACACATAAAATTGGTGCGCAATTAAAACGTTTGCATTGGGTCTTCGACTTCAAGATAATAAAAAAACGGAAATCACTGAAAAAAAGTACGTTATAAACATGAAGAGATAGTGAACAAGCAAACATGGCTCTAATTACGGTAGCATTAGCATTCTTGGGTGTCTGGTCCATCTCAGCAGAAGGTAAACTCATAATTTAGGTCTTTATTTCTTTGGCAAGACTTTACCAATGTTTACGTTGTTATACTGTATTTAAATCTAGATCTAGATCTAGTGTTAAACTTTTACAAATAATTTGTACCAATAGGACTAAGAAAAGCGAAGATAACTTGCACCAAAAAAATGTGAAGAAACTCCTGGCATAATGTTCAACCTTTGATTTTAACACTTATTAATTACAAAAATAATATGAAAATATTTTACATTAAACAAATCAACAACGTTTTGTAATTCTTCTGAGGTTCCTTTTTAACCTAGTGATAAGATATACAGAACTAGCGCTACCTTAAGTTAGAATACTCATTAGTGTACGTCCAGTAAACAAACAATAGTCATTCATACAGTATTAAATCTAATGTAAACTTTAAATAAATATTTATGTATTCGGCAGAAATTGCGCGAAATCCAATCAGTACTTATCTGAATAGACTTGAAAACGGTTCCATATGTTTGTTACCCGAAAGTATATTTTTCAAAACAAAATTGAACATTTTCAATTGGTGAAATAAGTAAAAAATGACTTCCGGTGTTATTAAGGCTTGACATATTCAAACAAATACTTAACAGCAAAATAATAATAAATGGACGAACACTTTTATTTTTAATTTTGATTAATATAGTCAGTGTGTTGTAGTGACAGGTGTGTTATATTATATATATATATATAAATAAACTACTAGGCTATACCCCATTGAAATAATAATTAAAAATTAATTAATATATAAACACTTACAATACTGTATTAATATATGTTTAAGCAATACAGATCGGACATTTTCAACCTATGCTTATGGGATGGTCCATAAACTATGTCAAGATCACTACAAAAGACTAAGAGTATACTAAGTAATATATTAAGATAATTAAGGAGATCCAAAAAAAAATCAGCTCTTCACTATTACTCTTCGATTCTATTATTTCTATTATTCTTATACTAAGAGGGATGAAATTACTGTAATACTACTACTGTACTAGATTTAATTAAACTTAAATTTTGTATATTATTCAATATATTCTGTAACCTATTATTAAACTAAATCTTTTTTTTTTACAATTTCAAATTATAGCCTTACAAAACCTAGCTAACTTTATTGAACCTACATAGTTCTATTAACTTATTTTAGTTTGATTATATAGACTTTTTAAGCTAATTTATGATAATTTACTTTACTTTGGTACTAATTTGCGCATACAAAACATACTTACGTTATCTGATTCACAT